TCTCGCTGGGTAAACTGCAAACTCGTTTTTATCTCCTGTATTTCTTTGGTCATGTCGTCGAGTCTCTTGTTATTTGTCTCCATAATTAGTTTCACAAAGCCTTGGAAGCTTGCATGCTGTTGGCACATAAGCGCGGTGTACATCAGCTTCTGCTGATTCAACATCTCAGCTACTTGCACCGCTGAAATAGAATCTTCTTCAGCCTCAACATCCTCGCTCGCTTCGGATTTATTAGCTCTTTTCCCTCTTGGAGGCATTTTAGTAGTTGTAGAATTTGTTCAAAGACTTGACAATGTAGAAGATGTTAACTATTTTGTTTTTAATTAATATATGTGAACTGCCATGAAACACAAATTTGTGGTCTCCAGAGGATAAATTATAAAAACTATTTCCATTTCAAATTTCAATGTATACAATAATTTGGTTAATGACTCAGTAAACCAGTAAACCTGCTAAACTATGAAGGTACAATAATAATTATACATGCTAAACATCAGCATGCTAGCTTTGTCACTGTAAGAATGTTAACCCACTTGATACATACTGCTGCCAACTGTTGATCAGTGTGTAACCAACAGCAGAGCTGGAAACAAGAACTACCTTTTTGTTTTATATCCCACACACAATGCCCTTACACACAGTCTCGGACCCTAGGGCAGTGAACTGCTTTCATTACCAAACACACACTAACTATATACATGAACATGCTGTGACCCATTAATCCCACCAGAACTCTTTGTCATGGTGCTCTGGCCCAGGTTAGTGGGCTGGCCCCCTAAACACACATTCTGGCACACACGCACAGACCCCCAGTCCCAGTGTCCACACACAGACTCATGGACTTTGAGGCGCGTTCTTGCTGAGTTAGTGAGGGCTCAGGGCTGTCCCACTGTGAAACCATCAAGTGCATGAGGGCTCTCTCGCCTTCATTTTGAGCCCGTTACGCTCACTTTGTACAAATTTTACCAGAGGGAATGCCCCACAGTTCACTGTGTTGTAGATACAGTAGATAGACAGATACATGTAGATAGATACAGTGGTGTGAAAAAGTGTGTTTGCCCCCTTACTGATTTCTTATCTTTTTGCATGTTTGTCACACTGTAATGTTTCAGATCGTCAAACAAATTTATATATTAGTCAAAGATAACACAAGTAAACACATCATGCAGTTTTTAAATGAAGGTTTTTATTATTAAGGGAAAACAAAATCCAAAACTATAGAGCCCTGTGTGAACAAGTGTTTGCCCCCCTGTCAAAACACTGTTTTATCGCACCTGAGTTCAATTTCTCTAGCCACACCCAGGCCTGATTACTGCCACACCTGTTCGCAATCAAGAAATCACTTAAATAGGACCTGCCTGACAAAGTGAAGTAGACCAAAAGATCATCAAAAGCTAGACATCATGCCGAGATCCAAAGAAATTCAAAAACAAATGAGAAAGAGAATAATGGAGCTCTATCAGTCCGGAAAAGGTTATAAACCCATTTCTAAAGCTTTGGGACTGCAGCGAACCACAGTGAGAGCCATTATCCACAAATGGCGAAAACATGGAACAGTGGAGAACCTTCCCAGGAGTGGCCAGCCGACCAAAATTACCCCAAGAGCGCAGCGACAACTCATCCAAGAGGTCACAAAAGACCCCACAACAACATCCAAAGAACTGCAGGCCTCACTTGCCTCAGTTAAGGTGAGTGTTCATGACTCCACCATAAGAAAGAGACTGGGCAAAAATGGTTTGCATGGCAGAGTTCCAAGACGAAAACCACTGCTGAGCAAAAAGAACATAAAGGCTCGTCTCAGTTTTGCCAGAAAACATCTTGATGATCCCCAAGACTTTTGGGATAATACTCTGTGGACAGACGAGACAAAAGTTGAACTTTTTGGAAGGTGTGTGTCCCATTATGTGTGGCGTAAAAGTAACACCGCATTTCAGAAAAAGAACATCATACCAACAGTAAAATATGGTGGTGGTAGTGTGATGGTCTGGGGCTGTTTTGCTGCTTCAGGCCCTGGAAGACTTGCTGTGATAAATGGAACCATGAATTCTGCTGTGTACCAAAACTGCAGTCCCCAAGCTTTAGAAATGGCTTTATAACCTTTTCCGGACTGATAGAGCTCCATTATTCTCTTTCTCATTTGTTTTTGAATTTCTTTGGATCTCGGCATGATGTCTAGCTTTTGAGGATCTTTTGGTCTACTTCACTTTGTCAGGCAGGTCCTATTTAAGTGATTTCTTGATTGCGAACAGGTGTGGCAAGAGAAATTGAACTCAGGTGCGATAAACCAGTGTTTTGACAGGGGGGCAAACACTTGTTCACACAGGGATCTATAGTTTTGGATTTTGTTTTCCCTTAATAATAAAAACCTTCATTTAAAAACTGCATGATGTGTTTACTTGTGTTATCTTTGACTAATATATAAATTTGTTTGACGATCTGAAACATTACAGTGTGACAAACATGCAAAAAGATAAGAAATCAGTAAGGGGGCAAACACTTTTTCACACCACTGTAGATTTATCCCAAGGAAAAATCAGAAAGTGACCGTTTAATGCTATGATGTTAAACATGGGGTTAACCTACTGGGGGAAGGCTGGAAGAGGAAAAAAAGCTAAACAAATGCCATAAAATGGACACAGGAAAATATAGAAGATGACCAGTATGTAAACTGATGTTAATCTAATGTTTCTGTATGTTGCTTTGGACAAAAGCATCTGCTAAATACTGTAACTTAAACATAACTATCCTATATTACACACCTTTTTAATTCACCAACTATTCCTATTCTTTTTTGCTTAATAATGCAGTTTCAACAAAAACATATTAAATTGATTAGGTAACTGACAATTGCCCCTCATCCACTCTGTAAGGCGAGAGCCTGGATCACATTCAAACCAGCCAGTCAGTCCCAGAGGTGTCTTGGCCATGAGGAAAGTGAAAAACGTAAAATAAAAAGCTCTAAACCCACAATTGTTAGAATCATATTGTCGTTTTACTGTTGTCATGGTGATGAGATAGCCCAAGTCACAAAGTGCTGTCCTATTCCTATTTATACAATTTCCAGCTCTTGCAGGTTCTTCACTAAAGTCTTTGAGGGTTCAGGGCTTGAGACCTTAGGCAGGACATTGGGACTGGGCCACAGTCTCTGCCCCTAGGGCAGGTTGGAAATCTCACCAAACAATCCCCCATCCCCAACATGCTACAGTACAAAGCAAAACAGGGAGCCAGTTTTGGGGCCATGTGTTAGAAACTCCATAGTGTACAAAGTCTGCTTGAATAAATTACTATACACCATACACTAGTGTTAAACAATATCACTTAGGAGAAACCAGAGTGTGTCATTATACCAGTGTGTCAATATGGTCAAAATCATGCAAGCTTGAACCCACTTGGAATTTATTTTTTGTTAAGCTAAATATCAGGAACTGACTTCATATCAGTATGTAATTCACTATCACCCAAACTGACTTCAGTACTGGCAAACACAGATGTTACCAAAATGATTAAAAAAAGGATTTAAGTTTAAGATAAAAGGTCAGGTAAACACCTTACACTTATTGCTCAGTCCATATGTAGGTAAAACAACAATTCTATGAAATCTAAGCAATTTTTTTTGTTCAAATACAGGAGTCTAGAGGAAACAAGAAGGAAAATGTTCTCAGCCCTCTCTTGGCTATATGACAGCAGCTTCCTGCTCTGCTTGGTAAGAGTCTGGTTAGGATCAGTGTGTGGAAACACAGCTACAGATGTGTGTTCCTGTTTACACTGAGTGGGGAGGTAATTGAGGAAGTCTGGCTCTCTCCTCAGGAGCTCTCTGCTGCTCAGTGGGAGCTGAGCTACTCCTGAACCAAACATTTCACATCCATGTCCTGTTTTCTGTTTTCTCACTCTCTCTGATTATCTTTTTTTCTCTTTCCTAGTCAGCCTCTATTCTACTTTGCCTTCTTCTTCTGTCTCTCCAGCTGGAGGGAATATCTGCTACTTAGAAGGAAGGATGCTATGTCTGCCTCACCCTGGAAGAGCTATACCAAAAGAGGCAGCTGTCTTTTCTTCTCAGCACAACAGGAGAGCTCAGTTTCCTAGCTTCAAAGGAGGGGAGCTGTGTTTCATCTGTCAGCAACACCTCCTTTAACCTCCATATCAGAATACAGCGGGGAGCAGTTAAATCAACTCCCATGTACATTAAAGCATGCAAATGAGTTCAACTTTGAGAACTTTCCCAGACAGCTCAGAGCACATTGAATATGCAGAAATGCTGCCCTTTCCACTCCACACCTGTTTAACCTTACCTGGAACTGGCCAGTGTAGTCATCGTCTGTGGTGCCCTCTCTGCCCTCTTTCAGTGCGATGAGGGTGAAACCTCTGAAATAAGCAGGACTGGTTGCCAGGAGGGCCACTGTAAATGAGGAGAGAGTGGGTGTATTAACCCCACAGAGGTACACATTGGGCTATGGAGTGACCCCCAGCGTTATCAGAGGAACACATATGCAAGCCACAATCCTGTGAGCATCAGTGTGATATGGAAGAGTGAGAACTGTAAACAGAGGCTTCACATTACATACTAGAATATTTAAAAAAAAAAAAAGAAAAGTTCATGCAGAGATTTGGTGCAAGGAACAGGGTAAGAATGGGAGCCATATAATGAGATGTGGGTGGAATTTTATTTGGCTTACCCTTGTGCCCTAACCTTGCATTTTCATACCAGCCCATTTATCTTAAAACGTGCTCCAGGCCCTGAGAAGGAATATGTCAATATTTTCTATCGTATCTGGTTTTTATAAGGTGAACTTATTCACTGCTTAAAGGCTGTGAAGATTTAGAGAATAACTTTGTTTTTCTTTCAGACTTCTTTGGTGTCCTTCACAGCTCCCAGATAGTTAATTAGAATTTAGCCCTGAGCTGCTAAAGCATGGCATCACGGACCTTATTCCATTGGCTCGCCACATCTAGACAAGGTAACCTTTAGTTTTTATCCTTGTTTTGGAAGCCTGCATGTAACATGCCAGGTCTTATAATTGTAAAATCCCATCTTTCTTCCATTGAATTGGTTTGAATGTTTATGATGGATTTAAAAAGAAGAGACAGTTGTAGTTTGAGTTGAAAACTGCTTAGTGGTCACATCTAAAGCTCAACAATCTCAGTGATCAGGGCAAAGTTGTGTTTTTTATGTATCCAGATCCATCAGGCAGGTCATATAGGGGTCAGGATCTTTCTCTCTCTCTCTCTGGTGTGTGCCTTTCCAGCATGAAAAGATGAAGTGAATATAGGACAGACATTACAACACTAAGTTAGCCTACTGCTCTCCCTGGAGAAGGCAGACTGTATAGTTTTGAAATTCTGTCCTCCTGGCTGCAAATTCCAACAAAATTTTGGATTTCTCTGTCTATTAGTTATAATGTTAGTGAGTACTTGTTGATTTGATATGCTCAGGCTTTTACAAATTAATAACACGTGAAGACATTTCAGAATACAACTTAATTAAATTTAGCGCAGGTTTGCGCACGAATGGCGCAAATTGACTGAAAACGAACTCTACCTCTGTAGGTTTTGCCAGGATGGTAGGTTTCTGGATCCCCTTCCACTCTGAGTTTGAACTCATGGTGCCCATCCCTCCGAGTCCCGTGGGTCTGCGCCCGGAGAATTCGTCCGCAGTACCCATCCAACCTGCCTCCGAAGGGCTCCTCAACGAAGGCGATGGCGTTGCACACAAAACTCGAAATGAAATAGTACTGCAAAAGCAGCAGATGCAAATGCATTCCCATTTCAGAATTACAGCAACGGGGTGAGAGTGCAATGACAGTTCAATCAATAACGGAAACCCAGCAGTGGAAAAGCGAAACAGAGGATCAGCTCCTTCTACACGAACTCCCACCAAACTACAGCAGCGTCACGGTCAGTGGTTCAGGTTAAGAAAAGGTGAGGAGTCCATCCTGAACTGGAAAGAGCGCGTCTGGGGCGCACAGCGAAGCAGGGGAGAGGAGCTGCTGCTGCTGCTGTTCCCGGATCAGCGTGTAGTGTTGATAACGAGGCTGGAAGCAGCGCGGATTGGCCAAATACTCGAGCGTGGATGTAGGCAGCTATCTTCTTGACTTCAGGCGAAGGAAGGTCCAAACTGGAGGTCCGCACTTTAATAAGAGCCAGCCCTCCCCAGTACGCACACATATACACACACAGCCTGTCTGTGTATCTCGTGGGTCTCACACATATAACAACCTCTTGGGAAAAAAAACAAATGTTCTGCCTGCTGTTCAAATAAAAAAAGTCTAATTAAAACTCTGTATGCAGCTACATGGGAGTTGAAAGACATCGTCAGGTTAGATACACAAACTCAAAAGTGATGAGCATAGTAGCATTAAAGGTGAATAAGGAACAGAATCGTGTTCATTAATTCTTGGCCCTGAACGCAAGTAGACATTTTAGCTCCAGAATTGCGTGAAATTGCCGTGTCATTAACAAATGAACAAAGACTAATCCATCATTTATTTTTCTTCTATGTCTATATTGTGGGCTATATGGGAAAAGCATCATGACGTTAGATGAGGTCATTGTAAACTTCCCATGGACGCAGATTCCAAAATTTATTTTGTTTCTGTCCAGTGTGCTTTTTCGTATTTTCCGGTATCGGTTTCGCGGTATGCCATGAAAACAATGTGTAATGAACACCACTTATATATCACTCAAGGTTGATGTTATGCAGTTACGAATTTAAAAGAAACTAGTGAGGTTTCTAGACACACACTCAAGGACACCTGAGCAGAGGCACCACAATACACTCTGTGCTGCTGGTAAGGACAACCAGCACAAGCAAAATTAAATGTTAATTAATGAAAATGATAAACTGTTTCTATTTTAATAGGTAAGCTGTGTGAACCTGTGTTCCCTTATGTCCTGCTGTGTTTTTATTTGATAATTTCCCTGTGGATTTCATCTATATAGACTCTTAGTGAATGTGAAGCACGGCCTCAGCTTTACTCACATCTCTTCACTGTCCGACTATAGTATAATCCCTTGTAAAGATATTAGAGACATGCACCTACAGTGCACCAGGAGGCAGTGTTTTGGCCACCAGGTGTCACCAAAGTATTTTTGCACCTTCAGATCCTCTGCAGCTACTTAGTAAACTTGTCACTCTTATCATCATTGCTGCCTTTTACTCTCCCATCTATTCAAGTTTTATTATAGTGAAGTATGAGGGATTATGGAAATGGGGTTTAAGGTTACAGATTAAACTTTTTTATTATTTAGCCTTTGCAATCATCATTTTATTCTGGCTGAACTACAAAGAAAGATATAAAACTTTAACTTTGTCTGTCTTTGTTCATTCAAAACACTACAATTGTGATTAGTGACTGTTTGTAGGTAACAAACTGTGTATGTCTGTTGTCAACAGGATGGGGTCCAGTCTGAGATTTATATCACTGCCTTACATATGGCCATGTACATACGCATGGAGAGCCGCTGTGCCAGAGTCAAATTCCTCATGTGTCCAACACACCTGGCCAATAAAGCTGATTCTGATTCTGAGGACATTTTGGCACTTTGATCCACGTTTGCACACTCCTTCAAAGGGTTGTTTGGGGTTAAGACTAGAGTCAGGTTTAGGTTAGATGTTAGGCTTTTAGTTGTGATGGTTATGGTCAGGCTAGGGAATGCATTATGTCAGTTAGTGTCCTCACAATGATATTTGTATAGTACTAACGTGTGTGTAAATGAAACCTCACAGGGATGACCTGGCACGAATACATTTTCAGCAAACTGATTGACTCAAGTGTTTGTGGCTTTGCATCCACATTCCAAACGTGTGTGTGTCTAAACCTGGGGAATATTACCTAACTGAGAGCACTTCCCAGCAATGGAGATGGCCAAAATAAACATCATTGGCCTGGATACCTCTGTGTGATGTATCCCATCTGGAGTGACTGAGCACTATAAACTGTCTGATGGATGGCTGCCGTCTGGCATGTATTCCTGATCATGATGTGAAGTCAGAAACAACCTATTATCTGTTCAGAGTGAAAACAAGCTGTCTGCACACCAACCAGTAACATTCCTCATTCACACACCCAACAACTTTATTATTCAGTTTGAGGAAATCATTACAGTAATGGTGTAAAATCTTCAAGTCTGTCATCTTGTTTATTGGTTCAGGATAGCTTCTCAAACAATATACATATTTATACTAAAATCATTTACCTGAGTACCAATATAAAATTCTTTTATATGAAGAAACAGCATTTTACATGTCTATTCAGACAGGTATTTCAAAGTCCCGCAGCCACTATAATAATCTGTGAATTTGTCTTCAGTAAACTTGTCTGCTTAAACCAGACTTTCATGAGGGTAATAATGTTTTGATCCAGAAAGAACAAGCCAAAAGGGGGTATTAAATATGAAAATTGCACTGATCTTAGTGTGTGGAAGTCATTTCCTCTAATGGACTACTGGGGATCTAAAGAAGCCCTTGATACTGTGCTCAAGTGTGTGATAGAATTTCTAATTATTCTACAAAGCTTTTTTTATTCTGCTCATATCATTCTGCTCATTTGTTTTTATATCAAACAATTGTTGACCCCCATTCTTTTCACCACGTTAACTCTGAGAGATGAAGCAGTCTGAGTAACTTCAAAACAGTGCTGAGTGTGTTTTATGGATCCAGTTACTTAGCTTGTTATCAGTGAGCCACAGTTTAACACAGTGTGTGGTGCTTTCTGCTACCTTGAAGGGTCCTTGCCACCATGATTTGAACCAGTGAAGTAGATCCAGCTGTCCACAGCAGCTGAGGTAGGCTCCTCAGATTGGTCTCTGTGCAGGATTTTGACCACCTGTTCAGAGAGACTCATCACGGCGCTGTTCAGCCGCCTGACATATTCACTTATGTCAGCATGCTGCAAAAGAAGAGGTGTTGAATCTCTAGGCATAACCGTGAGAGGACAGGGCATTTTTCTCCCTGTCAGGATTTCATGTGGGCTCACATTTAGTGATTTAGTTGGAGTGGACCTGAGGTTGAACAATAAAATTGGTAGAGCTTCAACCCAGTTAAGTTTCTTGTCTGTGCAGACTTTTGCAAGGCCTTCTTTAATGGTTCCGTTTGCTCTTTCAACCAACCCTTGTGAGGCTGCATAATAAACAGCTCCAAACTTATGTTTGATCCCAAACATCTGCTCAACCATGCGTAGATCTTCATTCGAGAAGTGTGTACCATTATCAGATCTGATTATTTCTGGTATACCAAACCGAGGGATTAATTCTCTTGTGAGCCATTTAATTACCTCTTTACCAGTTTCTGATTTTGTGGGAGAGGCCTCAACCCATTTAGAAAACGGATCCACACATACTGGTTACATATTTCACATGTTGCAACAAAGTACTTTGTAATGTCCTTCATTTGTGGGTGCCACCAATTTTGTGAAATCAGACCATTCATTTTGTAGCTGGCGCAGTGTCCTCTACTGTGCGCCTCTTGACACAGCAGGCTGAGCAGCCCTGCTGGGGCCACTGTTCAGCCCTCATGGTTCCTCCAGAATCCTGTTGCAGCAGCATAAAGTAACATGGTAGTGAACCAACCAAAGACATGGAGCTTGATGGCAGCACTTTCCTTAGCTATCTTGTTTGTGGCGATGCAGACATACAGTTGGTATGGAAAGTATTCAGACCCCCTTAAATTTTTCACTCTTTGTTATATTGCAGCCATATGCTAAAATCATTTAAGTTCATTTTTTCCCTCATTAATGTACACACAGCACCCCATATTGACAGAAAAACACAGAAT